ACTTAACCACTGAATCTGAAACTCAGATTTCTCATTTCCATGAGAGGCTTTCAGTACGTGTTGATTCTCTTCCTTCCAAACTACAACTTCCCCAGGACCTGCTTTCTGCCTACCACCAGAAAATAGTTTGCCTGTATCCTGTTTTTTTCCTAGTCATTTATAAGATACTGACTATTGAATAATAACAATAATACAACTCTGTCACTGTAGCATGAAAGCAGCCCTAGACAATATGGAAATAATGAGCATGGCTGTATTTCATTAAAACTTATCTACAGAAATGGTGACGGGCCAGATTTGGCCTATTATGTCATAGTTTGCCAGCCCCTGGCATAAACACTGTTACCAGTTAGTAACTCTAAACCTGGCTACATCAGAATCTCTTGGATTTTCTTACAAATACAGAATCCTAAGCCTTCCTATACCCCAGCAATATTTACAATCCAAAGTAAAATTCTAGTTCATTTCTAGATAAAGAAGAAAAAGGTTTGTATATGGTTATTTTGGTCTTGAGAATTGCCAGGAAGCCTTGGATTATTTACTTATATGGTAGTCTTCTAAAAGGGAGAGAATATTTGAAGATGAAAAAGTAACTTAAGTGCTCAAAATGAAGGACTTTTTTAGACTAAAAGCTCTAAAAGCTTTTATTCCATGTGAGTAGTTAGTGGAAACGATCTTTGCCAGGCAGTTGAAAAGCTAAACGTTTTGTCTTATTTTCTTATGCAGTTAAACATGACTGGGAAAAAATGACAGAAGCAGTGCAGAATCATATTGGTTCTCTGAACTGGGGCTACCGAGTAGCTCTGCGGGAGAAAAAGGTCGTCTATGAAAATGCTTATGGGCANACTGGGGCTACCGAGTAGCTCTGCGGGAGAAAAAGGTCGTCTATGAAAATGCTTATGGGCACTTTGTTGGTCCTCATAGGATTAAGGTAATTGTGTAACATTCTAAGTAGCTTTTTTTCTTAAACTTTGGTTGGCAGTAGGGGAGATAAAATTAAAGTATGAAAGTACTAGAAGTATTATAGTAAAAGTAATAGCCGCTGTTGACCCAGACTACCCAGTTTGGTGATTTTGCCTCACAGCTTCTCATGGGGCCTTCTGTGGAGATGTGGTGAAATGTGAGAGTGCTGGACCAGATTACCTGGATTTGAGGCTTGGTTCTGTCACTTTCTAGCATTGTGATCTTGAGCAAGTCCATGAACT